GCGGCGAAGAATGACAGGAAGGAGGTGCATTTGTCTGCTGTGAAGGATTGGGAACCGGAAGCGGCGAACAAACACGCCAGCGTCCTCTCCGACCAGCGACGAAACTCACCCAACAAATTAAGGGGCCTGATATGTTAGTAACATATCAGAAATATATAAAAAAATCTATAAAAGAAATATTAACATGATCTTTTCAAATATAACCAAAGACCTGTTTTGCACTATACTTTGCCCATACTGCATGCTAACCCCTGGTTATGTTTTATATTTCTATACAGAGCGATAGTAAGCAGGGTAATAATTATAAGGCCTGTATCACAGATCGTCTGACAGGACAATACTGACATGAAAACATCTCAAAGGTTTCACATGACAGAAGCAAAACAGTCACATTAAGCCTGTGAGTTTGGCTTATATCTCACGATATCTATCTAAACTATATGAAACAACAATTTGTGCAGACCTCACTTAATAAACAACCACACACAACAAGGCAAAGGAGTAGCAAGAGGTGTAGCTTTTCTCTTTAGGTACAGTGTCCTCCTTCTTAAAACACATGACACACTGAACTCTAAACACCAGCACCCTATAAAGCCCCTTAAAGGAAGTGTGTGTTATCTATAACTAATGTTCCTCTGCTGGTGTTCTCTATCCTCTCCCCCTGCACATTGTTAAACACTTCCAGTTTATGGCACCATCACACTCCAAACGACATTGAAGCAGAGAGTTGTGCAGAACTAATGCTACAATCTGGGGAGGATTTGTTAGAAAACCCTTTAGTGCTAAAAAAGGCTGCAGCCACAGGGTGGGAGGACTAATGGCTACAAACACAGTTGTACTGAGTCCGTCCCACACACATTTAAGAGAGGAGGGTGTGAAATCCGTTTCTCCAAAGACCTCCCTGAGCAATTTTAAGATATTTGGCCAAAGCTAACTTTTTTCTTTGGCTCCTGTGGAGTGAGTCATATCTCAGCAAGCACACTGGTGTCACACAGAAAGATGGGAGCTGTGGGAAGAAACTGGCTGGTAGAGAGGAGTTGGTGGTAATACAAGCCATGCCAGAGTTTCTTTTTAAAGCCCTGCTCTCTCTTTATCATCGTGCTTTACTGTAAATCCACTGCTCACCGTCTCCTCCGGGAAGAGAGGCAAAGTGATAAGAGAAACAGGAGGAGGAGAGATCTGAAGGAGAGGAAGGAAAAGAAAGAGAGCAAAGGGAGATAGGCTAGGTGGTGAAGGGAGTAAAAAAAACATAAGAGAGAAAGGTGGAGGAGGTGCTGAGATGAGAGACGAGGATGGACATAAAGAGGAGGGAGGATGATGAATAGGAGAAGAGGAGAGCACAGCCGGCCTGTCTGACCCTCACATATCCTTGACAGTAACAAACTGCAAGGAGGCAGACTTTACTCGTGAAAATGTCAATATTAAGAAATTGCTGGGTATAATTTACTAAGCCCGCCTTCAATTAATATTCCTGCTTGCACACAGGTTTTAAAACATGATAATATCCTGCAGAGAAGGTGCTAATGTTGATCCAAAGTGGTATTTTGTTGATGTGCTTTAAAACAAAATAGAGATGTGCAGGAGAGATTGATCTCGATCTGCCTGAGACTGAACAAAATAAGAAATGGCAAACATCCATATAATATAAAAAAAGGTTTTTAAAGCAACACTTACGATTGATTACGGTTGAAAAATATAAAAGATGTGAAAATTAAAGGTGTAAGCTGTGTTGACAAACCTAAGAGAGTTATTACTGAGCATGTCAGTTACCCTCCACTCTGTTTGCAGCATTTTAGCTTCTCTTCACTGTTTTTAAACAATGTATTGGTTCACTCACAATGCTCATATTGGCATTATTTCAAAAAGGATCAACACATGAGAGTGAGCTGTAGAACAAAACTGAGCATTTAGTAACTTAAAGCCAAAAAGAAAACGAACAAAGGCAACACTGGACTGACATTTGTCAGGTGGCTCTCATATCTCCATATGAAAGATTATTTGTCTGCTGGATGTGTGTTTGCTTAAAAGATGACCTCTTGTTTCTAACATATTGAAGTGTTGTATTAACAGCTTGTTACACTGCCCCCAACGGGCCAAGAAAAGGAACTGTATGTTTCATTTAGTTAAACACTTTGAGTAACCGTGCTACACAGAGTATCAAACATAAGCGTGCTATCCATATAGTGTATATTTGTGGTAAATGAATGAAAAAACATGTATTTAGATTAAGATAACTCTTTGAGAATAATCCTTTTATACATTATATTTACATATTTCCCTTTAATCTACCAAGAATGTCTGTGTAGAAGATAGAAAAATCATCTAAAAACAAAGGAACATCCATAATTTAAATCAAAGCAGCTAAATGGATTCAAAGACACAAAAAACACTTTTCAAGGTTGGAGGAGGTATAAAAATAAACGATATCGATATTCATTCTGCAGTGTGACCAACAAGTTGGAAGGTGATTGACAGCCTCATTAAAGGTCAGCTCATTATACAGACGATAAGAAAAGCTTAGTGTGCAATTGTGTTTGTGTCAGATAAAAGAACAAAAGCAGAGGTAAAGATGAAGGAGGTTGAGATGAAGCAGCAGAAAAAAGGTTGAACAGATCAGAGAGCTGAGATCAAAACAGAACAAACACACAAAGACAGGAGAGAAAAGTTGGAGGTGAAAAAGAGGAGACACCTTCTCTGCAGCAGCTTCAGTGGATTACGTGCAGCCTAAATGAAGGTGAGAAAAACACACACACACGTGCATTAACACGTATACAGGCATAAGCTCTCACACATTCGCTCTCACACATTCGCTCACGTGCGCTCACCGCTGACCTGAGCGAGCCAGACTTAGATAAGAACCCCGCTGATCCTTTACCGGCTTCACCTGCCAGGTCAGAGATATCCGAGTGTATGTTTGCGCACACACACACACACACACACACACACACACACACACACACACGCACACACACACGCACACACACGCACACACACACGCACACACGCGCACACACACACAGCACACACGCACACATGCGCGCAGCAGTAAAAGATCAGTACAGTAAACAGAGAGATATAGAGATAATGTTTGTAACGTTACACCGGTATGTCACTTTTTTAAATTACACATGAACTGATTTTGATGCGGTAATAAAAAAAAAAGCTTTACATTTTGAATTCTGATGTATAGCCTTTAACAAGCAGCTATTCAACACGTTTATAGTAGCTGCAGGGAAATCTCTACATTTATACTGAGTGATGAAGTTTTTACTGACTGAAGAAGAGAGTCACACACAAAGATGACAGCATCCATCACTTATACATTTACTGAACTCTTAGTCTTGGATATGAATATTTCAGCTTGGGTAAGACCACTAAGGCATTTTTGAGGCTGATAATGATTTATTCATTATACAGTATCTTTATAATGCGGTCCTAAAATGAACAAAACAAAAACTTTACAGGAAAGTGATCTTTCTTTTTTTACCCTGTTGATTCTGATTTCAGGGTTCAGCAAATATTAACTACAATATTGGGGCCTAAACACAGAATTTTCTTGATGGTATTTTTGATTCCACGCGAATTTGAAACTCAGGTACTCAGGAGGCTGCCTTATTTAAAGAAGACATTTTTAATATAATATAAGTATTTAAGTTCTTGTGCAGATAAAAAAAAGTGCTCTTTAGTTCTAGTTCTGCAGACAGTACGGCCTGTACAGTATGTGAGAAAGTTCTGATGGGAAATCTATTTTTAAATCACAACGTGCATTGTTTAAATGTTGACACATAACCTTAAATTGCTGATACTGATATTTCAATGATGAGCCCATACCAGGCCAATATGAGGCCAGACATATCAGTCGACCTCTAACGTTGTACATTTCTTAAAGAGACATTTCACTGATTTTCTTCGTATAGCCTTGAAATGAAGTTCAGGGAACCACAAGAGACACATTTTAAAAAGTGTTGTGGAAGATAAAATGTTTTGCCAATAGTGTAGGTCAAGCTTCAAAGTCATTGCATCCTAATGCACAGCACAAAAAGCAGTACATCAATCACAACATGCACAAACACACAGATTCAGGGTTAGAGTTTATTATAATCTGTGAAGCGTGAGATCAGACAAGGGCAGCAGAAGAAGATCATGTTGAGGAGCCTTCAGATTGTAAAACGTGAGAGGTCCCCTACTCTACAAAAAGCTCAATGTACGGCTGTTGTGACAGCTGTAAAACAAAGATGTTTAAGTAAAACAAATAGTACGAGGCCACTTTGGACATTGAGGATTTCAACACACTCAGGATATAAACATTCAGTAAGGTGATGTGTTTTTTACTGTATCTATACATCTATTTACTACGGGAGGAAATGTTCATTTGGTTAATGAGGATTTTTTTCCCTTAAAGTTGAGGTATTGATTTTTTTAAACTGAATTATATTTCATAAGAATGTTGATTTCTTACATGCATATGAACTACACATACAAGCATGCTTGTATAAAGACTGGTGTTTCTTAAATGGTGGAACTTGTATACCTTTACGACAACTTCTGGGTGATGCCAAAGTTACATTTTTGGTATATTAACTTAAAATCTTGCTTAACTCCTTAAGTAATATTCTGGATATGGTTAATAATAAATACAAGTGTATATGCTAGTTCAGGCAGACAACTTGAGCTGCACTGATTTCACACTTTCTATGACACAACCTTAGATAGATGACTCTCATGTTATGCAACAGAGCTTTCTGAAACCAAGCCTTTCTACGGTTTCTCTGTTGTAAAAATGCTCCACGTTTCCTATCAAAAGTGACGCAACAGTTAGTGACACTAGTAAAAGAATGATAGCTGATGACAACATTCATGTGACTCAGTGAAAGACTTCGTGGAGAGAGAAAAAACTGTTTGATTGGAATCATAAACCCTTTGACAGTTGTATGTTTCTCAAGAATACAGAGTCAGCTATAAAATGGGAGGAGCTTCAGTCAAAGGGTTGATAAGAGGAAAGTGTGTACACAGAGCTATCAGATAGTCAGTGAGGAAGAAAGTTCAGCCAGGGAGACATTTCTCGAAGACTTTCCGGTTGACACTCAGGATCCCTGATGTAGTGTCACTTCTTTTCAGGAGAGAAAAAACACCAGCAGCCACGAGAAATATTCTACAACCAAGACTGTCATCATGGAAAGCTGGCAGCAATCAGTTAACGGTATGCTGATTTATAAATTTCAGACACAACTTTGTTGTTGTTATCGCACATTTTGCAGAAGCAAACAACCGTGTCTTTGCATTTCAACCTATGCTTAACTATCAGGGGGATGACAAATGTGTGTTGCCTAGCAATCAGAAGCAGATATCTGCAGTAATGCAACAGCAGAAACAAGTTAGGAACATGTGTTATCTCACTGAAGTGCTTATAAAACCTTTAACAATTACTTTGTGTCTTCAAAACAATCAGATGGAATAATTAATTCCTTTCTCTAAGAAGAGTCATACTTTTTTTTTTACCTTTGATAATTGCATGACTTGTTGAAGCTTAAAACTTCCCCAGACACCATGTTCACAAATATTTGCTTAAAAGGAGATACAAGCTGTCACACGCTGACTAAAATCAGCTTCTCTCTTGTCCTTCTCTCCTTCAGCCTCAGCTGAACTGAATATTCTGCTGGTTGGTCCGAGGCGGACGGGCAAGAGCTCTACTGGTAACACGCTGCTAGGCGGGGGGCCGATTTTTGACACCAAAGGAGGCGGAGCCAGCACAGCTGCCAGCGCCAACACTGTTGGACATATCGTGACCGTTGTGGATGCACAAGGCTGGGGCTCATCTGAGGAGTTTGTGCCCCGGGAGGAAAAAGTTGAACTGATGCGGTCGTTGTCTCTTTGTGGACTCAGAGGACCTCATGTTATTCTGATAGTGATCCCTCTACTGGACTTTACTGAGCAGGAACAGAGAGCGGTGGAGAGGAGGATGGAGATGCTGACCCCCTCAGTGTGGAGACACACAATGGTGTTATTCACATGTGGAGACTTGCTGGGGGGCAGAGGGCTGAGTGTCGAGGAATGCATCCAATCAGGAGGCCCTGCTTTGCAGTGGCTGCTGGAGAAATGTCACAACAGATACCAAGTGTTTGACAACAAAACTGCAAATATTGGCAAGCAGGAGAGGAGAAAGCAGGAGGCCCAAGGAAGTGGGAAGAAAAAGGAGGGGAGATGGTGGAGGAAAAATGAGGAGGAGGTGGGGAGGAAGAGCAGAGCAGGCGAGGTAAATGAAAGAAAGGCGGGAGAGCAAGAGCAGGTGAGTGAGCTGTTGGGTAAAGTGGAGGACATGCTGCAGGAGAACGGAGGATGGCACTTCTCCCTCCACATGTATCAGAGGATTGAGGAGGAGTGGTGCCGCAGAAAGCATTGCCTGAGGGAAGAGCAAGAGAAGCAGGAGGAGGGTGAGGAGAGGAAGATGAGTAGAGGGGGTGATGAAGAGGAACAAGAGAGAGTAGCGATGAGCAGTGACGAGGACAGATGGGATTCAAGCTCAGACAGCGGAGTAGAGAGAGAGGAGGGTGATGATATGAAAACTGGACTGATTGCTCCATTCCGGTGGTCAAAGGTTAGCCTTTAGCCCAATCAGAGGGCTGGCGTAAAAGATTGAGGGTCACATGAACTGTTTTTATTTCCAGCTGAATTCAATGGAAACAGTGACTGGGACATTTAACATATGTGGCCATCAGTGACACATGCTGGGACATGAAAATCAGTTTTCATCAGATGATCATCCAGAAACCCTGAAAATTCTCACACAGTGCTTCAAAGGCAAGACCTTCAGTTTTCTCAGGGATGTGGTAACTCTTCCCGATACTCGAACAGTTTGTCATTTTGGGGCATGATGTTTGTACAATAAGCATGAAGATAAAGCCAGAAGCTAGTTAGCCTAGCTCCTCTGTGACCAATGAGGATATGATATGTTCATAATGTTCATAACAAATGAAAAGATGGCGGCTAGTATAGCATGCTCACTGCATCTTAATCTGTATATTATTAGTATAGCATGCTCACTGCATCTTAATCTGTATATTATTAGTATAGCATGCTCACTGCATCTTAATCTGTATATTATTAGTATAGCATGCTCACTGCATCTTAATCTGTATATTATTAGTATAGCATGCTCACTGCATCTTAATCTGTATATTATTAGTATAGCATGCTCACTGCACCTTAATCTGTATATTATTAGTATAGCATGCTCACTGCATCTTAATCTGTATATTATTAGTATAGCATGCTCACTGCATCTTAATCTGTATATTATAATCCTAAGAACACACTTATTTTGTAGCATTACTTATTTATAGCATTTATTTATATTTATAGCATCCCATTAATCCAGCCATCCATATATACCTAATAATTCACTTTTTTTAGTCTACATCTGTAAATTTTGTAATTACTGTACATAGCACAGACTCTTGCACTTTCTGCTTATTTGCACTTCTGGTGAGATGCCAAACCTCATTTCGTTACTCTATAGTTGTATATGTGTAATGACAATAAAGTTGAATCTCATCTCATCTCCTCTCATCTCATCTCAAAAATCACAACCTGATGTTGATGTCAAGACGCCAAAAAGCAAACACAGAATAAGTTTATCACAACACAACCTGTAAAACTGCAATCATCAGAGCAGTCATTTAAAAGCCCCATGACTAACCAAATAAAGTGTAGCATGTTAAACAAGTGAGCTTAATAGATGGTGGTGAGACAAACTTTTGACCTCTTGTCAGAGCCAGGATAGCTATTTCCCTTTTTCCCCCCATTTTTAATATGCTAAGCTAAGCTAACTGGCTGCAGATTCACATTTACAGTGGAGAACAGTGGTTTGGATTTTGTCCTTAAGCTTGTCCTTTATCTTTAAATCTTTGATGTACTATATCTAAAATTAGTCAAACTTCTACTGTCAATGTAGGTCATTTTAAGACCTTCCATGACATAATCTCATATTTAAATAGTTGTGCCAATAAATTCATCTATAAAGACACTGTGAGAGAAAACACCTAAGCTCTGTAGCTGTATGTCCTGTAGTTTACCAAACAGTGTGACGGTGTATGAAATGTTCAAATATGTAATACTCTGTTCAGAAAGAGTAATTCAAATCTAATAATCATGCTCATGAAGCCCAAATATCTGGAAAAGAAGCTATTACCAGTAAAAAATAAATAAATGTTTGACGCAAACCGTTATAAAGCCGAAGTCTTGCTGAACGTTGAGTTTGTCATTATCATGCTTTTATACCTTTGCTTTTTCAATTTTCTGAAATGAGGTAATCACTGCTGCTACATGCAGGTTTTTTGATAGCAGAATAGAGGGGCGTGCGGTCGACCAACCATTTCATTACTTCTGAACAAATTGTCAATTGGCTTCAGGGAATTGCCATCTCTCTCCTCTGCTGACACAAACAGTTAATCCTCATCTCTGGCTCGCAGTCATGATGCCATGCAAGGTCAGCTGTGTTGTAACCATCGAGGTCGCTCTCCAGCCAAGCCACACAGAAGCCCATTTCAAATACATAAAAACAGATTAAACATTAACGCCGTCCCTCACACTAGAATTCGTTCAGTTTGTTCTACTCTACATTAATAGGTCAGTGGCTTTAATTTGAGCAACACAAAAAATTTGAATTATATTATTCTTTTAGGTGCATCCATGTACAGAAAGCACAAGTCATCTTTGCTTCTCCACACTGAGCGATAAACTGGAGTTTTCTTTGCAGCAAAACACTTCACCAGATGCTATCTGTGTTTACACGGAGTGAGCTAGCAGGGAATTTATTTGCAAGTGTGTTTGGCTGAGATCAAAGCCTGCAGGCCCGTCTTGAGATGGCACATGTATGAGTCTGATACCCAAATGTAGGTGCTGCATGTTATTTTTTTAAAGGTTGTTGTAGAGCTACAGTAGACCCTGCTGGACCCTCTGAATATATTATGTGAAAAATCCAAACATAGCCTTCAAGGGTCCTACATGAACACAAAGTTATCTTCATGACCAGAACTGCTTTAGTTATTGGAAATGAAACATTTCTGTATCAGTGCTCTTTTAAAAAAAAAAAAAAAGTATTACCAGAAAAAAAAATCCAATCTTACACATCCAGGTCTGTTTACAGATCTTGGAGAGTTCTACTCTGTATATGTTGTATAAAGCCTGTTGCAGCTCCAGAGGGGGGAGCATGTTTTCTGATCAAGTTTACAGTCAGAGCTGTTTTCAAATCAGAACAAAGAAGAACTGAGTTTACCAGAACTCTAAAGCATGCAGCTCATCTCTTCATCTCTGTTTTTGGCCAGATGCTAAAGGCTTTATCAATTCCTTGTAGCATCACACAACCAAATCGACCCCATGGTCCAAAGAGCCACTCTCATGCCTGTCAGGTTTTTTTCTTATATGCAGGCTTTATACACACACACAATATGGGCTGTATGTCATTTTACTGTCTTTATTGTCAGCGTAAAAATAAAAAAATAATTCATTCATTCCAAGAATTTAAAACAGAAAAAGGGCCCACTCAAGTTTAGCTGCTGGAGGGCCTCACATGTATGTGTTACGTTACTCAAACATCAACTGTGACTAAACTGCCATGTGATAATCATGTTTTTCTTTATTGGGCTTGATTGCACAAGATAAAAACTTTGAACAGGGTTGGGTAATACTGTAGATCCCTATGATCAAATTCATGTAAGTACAGTTCAGACTTGTGACACACACAAAAAAACTGGGAACAAACGGTTCAATGTGTTACGCAATATTTACATCATTCAGCTAAGCTTGGCCAAAGGAATAACATCTTTATCAGCAGTTTGTCTTCATATCAAAGATTACTGCTGGTCAGGAAGTCCACTTTTGTAAAAGAAAGGGACACAACTGGACTAAAACAATTGTAATAGTTTTAATGATCAGGTGGTGACATCTCTCTCTCAAATCATGACATGGAGCTAATAAAAATGACTTTTGCTCTGTGATCCAGAGGCTCCTGTGATCCAGAGGCTCCTTTTATCTCTCTGGCAGCAAAGCACAAGCTGTTAGAGGGAGGATCTGTCATGGCTGCTGCTGTTACTACAGGACAACCCGTTAGTGTCGCCGAAAGATTTTAACTTTCAGCACCAAGTGTTTTCTGAGTGCAAGAAATGTTCCAGCTCAGAGGAGCAACAGGATGCACAGCAAATCATATAGACTGTGTAAAGAAGGCACAGAGAGGATGCAAGAGGTCTGAAAATGATCTAATGACGCTTTACTCATTCTGTTGCTTTTTTTTCTTACTGCACAGAGTACATTGATTCATCTGCCAGTGTCTGCATATCTACAATATAAACAGTAAATGACACACTCAAGGTTCATTAAGATTGACTCATTAAATGAATAAGATTTTTTTTAAAAGCTTTTTCGCTGAAGAATTTTATTCGCATATCCACTCTGTAATTTTCCTTGATGATAGTTCCAATATGTTGGTGCAGATCCACTGGCTCCTGAACAACATCTTAGATTGCATAACATACTTTCTCACAGTTTCAGTATGGCCAAAGGTTGGAAGGACTAATATTTTTAAATAAGCAGTTATAAATATTTCAAAGCCAATGATGAAGCAAACCAATAAATGTGGAATAAAATGGCAGTGTGTATGAAAATCATTGCAATGGATAGAATATATTATGTTTACTGTTTGAGTGTTTTAGTGTTTTAGCACTCATGCTAATTCTCAACACTTTTAGGATTTTGACTCTTTTGACTAATGGACTTAATTGTCTATGTAGGTGTTGGTTTTAGTCTCTGGCAACCAAACAAAGGACACATGGTGTCATACAAAATCCATAATAAAACAAAACAACACGAATGATCTACTATTACAACTTCTGAGGTGAAAAAAGAAACAAGTCAGGTAATTTGTGGGATTTAAATAAAAACTGTTGCGATGTAAGTGCTGAAATAAAACAAATACATACTGAAGCAGTCACTATTATCTTATGGGAAGTTGTTTGTGTTGTACTGTACAATGACAGAGAAGGAAATGTATTATTTATGGTGAATAGTCAAGTTTCTGTGAGTTTTTGGTTCTATTACAGTGATCTGTCATAGACATAAGACAGTCTGAATCTGTATTATGTGGGATCCAAATTAATTCCTGAAAAGACCACGTTTGAACCAAAAACTTCACATTCATAAATTTGACACTGAATAACTCTGTGATGGGTATTTGGTCACGGTAATTATTTGATGGCTTGGTTTCTGAGCATGTGGCATGATAAGGTAACAGACAACAGTTATTGAGAAACTATACGTTTGGAGTGACCCAGTGACCCAGTAAACCAGACATGCTGTGAGACCACCATACAGTAAACTTGAACTGTTTAAACTAGATACAAAGGTTGAACTGTTGCGTTAACAGGAGAGAGGACAGATAATAAGGTCATTTGGTTAATGTGTTCTGTGTGTCTGCAGAGCAGAGGCAGCTACACAACATGATTCAAGTAAAGAATGGAAAATGAATCGCCGTTTATCCAAAAATTGAAAACATACACTCCTTGATCTTCCTAAATCAGACATTTGTATTCTATATTTCATTTATTTTGCATGTTCAACAGTTCTAATAAAAGATTAGTTCAGGTGATGACTTGTATGCTAATTTCCTATCACCCCATCTGTATAAAATCTTAAAGGTATAACATTTTCTGCCTCTTCTCTTTGACAGATATAATAAGCTTTTAATTGGCGATAAAAGTAACAAGTATTTCCATCTGTGCTTTTTGTGTATTCAGTTAGTTGCAGACATGTTTCTTTATGTGAGGCTCATAAGACTTAAAACTCACCTCACTCTGCCTGAAGCTCATAAACAACAACTCATACTCAAGGATCTGCAACACTGCCACAAACTCTGTCTACAATGATTCACTGCAAGGTGATTTCGTCTACCCGTTTTATTCTGGCACACACAACAGACATCCATCACACACACACACACACACACACACACACACACACACACACACACACACACACACACACACACACACACACACACACACACACACAC